GGTGTGTAAGAACTGTCCGAATGTTTTGTATTTCCGAGCGCTTTCGGCTATACCTTCAGCCATTATCAAGGATGATTCGATTATCAGTGTGTGCATTCTGTGTATGTTCAGTGTATGGTAGTGATGTTTTTAATTTCCGAATACGGTTAGAACATTATGGCTTTGTTCATAGTTAATATTGTTAAGAGTTGGCTTTTTCTTTTTTATTATTAGAGCTTCCATTATTTTTAGTCTTTTTTTTTTGCAAGTGGATGCAGTTAATATATTTGTGTTTTCTACTAGTATGTTCTTAATAGTGTCGGGTAATTTTGAGTGTGTGATTAAATGTGTTCTGATGGAGCTGTGATCAGATAGGTGTAACGTAAGACGTCTGGATAAACATGTGGTTGTGCAACATGTGGTTGCCCTTTAAGAAACTGCGTTCCTCACCAAACCGGACTAATAAATAATTACGTCGGCTACACAACCACATGTTTATCCAGACATGGTTATCCAGAAAGCTCTTGTCAGAACACAAGAAAAATTAAATAAAAAGCTCAACCGTAGTACCTTGTCTGTCGTTTTTAATGAAACATGCACATATATATATATATATATATATATATATATATATATATATATATATATATATATATCGGTTATTATCTTTACCTGTATTTTTATTATTATTGTTATTATTTGTAAATTTTATTATTTATTATTTATTGTTTATTTTAGTATATTTATATATATATATATTTTAATATATTTTTCATTTATTTTGATATTATTATTAATACTATTTATTTTTTGTAAGTTATAATTTTTTGTTTTATATATTTTATTTACATCTATTTTATATGTGGTATTTTCAAAAATTAATTAAATTTTCAAAAATTCAACCTTAGAGTTTCGACTGTACGTTCCGCAAGTTTTTATCCGTTATCAATAACACATAAAAAAAAAAATTCGATTCGCATTATATTTTTCGTCTGGGATGCTACCTGAATTTTACCAATAACAAAATAGTTTCCATGCTTGAGGATGACCAGAATAAGTGTCGAAAATACATGCCTGTTTAAGGAAGACTTAATAAAGTTCATAATTTTAAAAGACAAGGATCATAACATTTATCGAGTGATTGGTGAGTTAATGCATCTTTAAAATTTAGTTCGCGAAGTGATTTCGCCATTTTATATCATTAAATTTTTACTTTTTGTGTGAATGATTCATTGTAATATATCTACCTGTCTATCTATCTTTCTCTCTATCTATCTATCTATCTATCTATCTATCTATCTCTCTCTCTCTCTCTCTCTCTCTGTATATATATATATATATATATATATATATATATATATATATTTGTCTATATATGTCTGTTTAATAGCATATTCCTTACTATTATTATCTATTTGGCTATCGTTTTATCCATATATCTATCATATCTATGTCTTTGAAATAAGTTTTTTTTTCTATCTTGTTAATTAGAAATCTGTCGGCGCAAATGAATTTTCGCACTTCCAATATCTCACCGAACACTAAGAGGCAGAAATTCCCAAAACGCTTTCTTTAAGAATAGGTGCAAAGAATTTAACACATCAGGGAAGCAGATATAGAAGCAGCCTCACAAACGAAACCATGCATTCATTTTTCGTTCTTTTCTCAAAGACATGCACTAAATATCTAAGATCATGCATGCATTTACTTCCCACACTATCCCAATTCTTCACCCCTCTCTCTCTCTCTTTCTCTCTGTCTCTGTCTTTGTCTGTCTCTCTCTCTCTATCTCCCCTCACCAATTTTGACTTTTCTTCCCTTTCTTTTCGCTTGGGAATCTTATCACTTCCCAATGTCGAAATATTGGCGCGAACTCACGCTTAAGTTGCAAATAAGAAGTGCGGAATTGTTTGCTGGGGGAGCGGGAAACGCAGCAAAATCACGTGGTGCGCTTATGGGACAGAACCCCATCCCCATAAGCAATCCATGCCAACCCCTGCATCTCAATGCCAACTAGTTGAGCCTAACTTTTTTTTTTCTTTGTGGGTGGGGGGGCTGGCGGGTCGGTGTGTCACGAACCATTAGCTTTCAACGCTCAACTTAATTCCGGGCAGAAAACCATCTGGGAAATTAGAGACGGTTGTCGGCTAAAATCAATTGAACAAAAGAGCGAAGGGAACGTGTAATCGGTCGAGGCGAAGAAAACCGCCATCTCATACGGTCAGTCATGCATCTATTCTGTGGCACTTCAGCGCATGCTGATCGTCAATATATAGTAAATTTTTTCTACTTTTGCTATTAGTAGAATCCCCTTTTTTTTTTTTTAACAATTATATAGCCATTTACTTACAGTAATATTCACCTGTACAAAGCGAAAAAGCCCCTCGAGGTAGAGTGTTACAGATTAAGAGGCACAGTTTTGTAGGGACAGAAGCGGAAGATAACGGTTAATACTAGATTTGAACTGGTTATGATTGTAGCAATCGGGGAAGCATCCTCTTGGGAGATGATTCTAAAAAGCAACCGTTAATGGGTAGAAGATGATTTGTTGGAACATATATCTCATCACTGAAATGCGATGAATATGAGGGATGTTCGCTACAGTGTGCATCGCATGACGTGTCTTAGTCATGACAGTTAGAACTAGTAGATATAAGGAATGTAATTCGTCTGAATACTTTCAGTAGAAATAGCGATAAAGATGCAATACTGAATTAAACGTCATTTTCCAATTAATCTTGTATTGAATCTATCTTCTTATAATTGTGCTTTGCCCTCCCGCACACTTTCGTTAGTCCGCACGGGCCTTACGCCTTGCCAATGCATCTTAAATAGTGGACTCTTGAGTACAGTGGTGGAAATAAGTATAACATACCCCATGAAATTGTTAATAATTTTCTTCTTACTGCGCAAATTTCTTTGAGAATTAGTGTGTGGTACCGAGATCCGATGGGTATCAGTATACATTTTCGATTTTATAACAATTTTCCACCAAAAAAGGTATTAACAAAACTTCGTTTACGAGGGTGGAAATGATTATGCAAATCTTGTTTACTTCAGAATGCAAAAGAAAGAATAAGTGCATGCGCAGATTATAAAAAGACTCATGATTTTAAGCCAATGAGTCCTATTTAAACATTTTATAATTGAATACAGTTACTGCAAAATGCCTAGGAACTACCCCCTTAATGAAAATGAAAAAGGGTAAACTTTTGCCTATAAACTGGAAGAAAAAACTGTAAGATTCATTGCAAGAGAACTGACGAGGTCATGAACAATTGTGAGGAATTATCTAAAGGAACCTGAATCATATGGCACCAAAAAACGTCCATGTCGTTCACCTAAAATTACAAATGCAGCCAGACGTCGACTTTTTCGAGAAGCTTCTAAAGGACAATCAAGCACAAGAGATCTGAAAAAATTTCAGAATTTACCAATCACCCCAAGAAGAGTTCGTCAACTTTTCCATGAATCGCCAAATCTCGTGTATCGAAACAGGAAAACAGCCCCTGCTTAAACTGCTAAATACAAGAAGATGCGCGTAGATTGAAAAAAAAAAAAAAAAAGTAACATGGACAAAGGAGAAATGGCAAACCGTGATGTTTTTTTTGATGTGAAAAAGTTTAATTTGGATGAGCCCGACGGTTACCAATGTTATTGGTATGATTTAAGAAAGGAAAAGTAGCTGTTTTCAAAAAGACCATTTGGAGGAGGATCTGTTATGGTTTGGGAGTTTTTTTCTGCATCTGGAAAGGCTGATTTGGTAGTGATGGAAGGGGAACAAAACTGCTCGATATATCATTGTCTTTGAAAAATGTTTTGTCCGATTTATGAATCGTCTAGACACCAATAATGTCATTTTTCAACAAGACAACGCAACCATATACACTTCTAAGCTCACGATAAACTGGTTTAAAACAAAAAATACTAAAGTTTTGTACTGGCCCACTAAGTCTCCAGATTTAAACCCAATAGACAATTTGTGGAGAATTTTGTCAAGAAGAGTATACAAAAATAGATGTCAATTTGAAGACATAGAAACATTAAATCTTGCATTAAACAGTATTGGAATGAAATTCCATCTGAAACTCTCAGAAAACTTATTGATTCAATGCAAAACAAGTGTGTTGAAGTATTACAACTGAACGAGAATAAATGTAAATATTCAATTTTGTGCCATTTTGCCGCTAAGTAGAAATTTTCAAAACTGACTTATACTTATTTCCACCATCGAAAAAGTGTTTTTCTTAATAAATTTCTTAATAACTATTTTGGTGGAAAGTTGTTATAAAATCGAATATGTATACTAATACCATCGGATATAGATACAACACACAAATTGTCAGAGGAATTTGTGTAGTAATAAGAAAATAATTAACAATTTCATGGGGCGTCTTATACTTTTTTCCACCTCTGTATTTTGATCGCGTGGAAAGAGGGGAAAGAAATTACTTGGCTTCAATGAGAAAATGAAAGAAGGAAAGGGGGATAGACGTGGAAAGAAAGAATCGTACTAAGCTGATAAGAACAGATACTACACTTTGAATTCAACCAATAGGCTGTGAAACGATGGGGACCCATAAAACCGCCATTTTTCAGATGGCGTGAAACGTAGGAAGTATAAAGAAAGAAATGGATGGACGGAAACGAAGAAAGAAAGGAAGGAAGAAAGAAAAGGAATAAGGCAATGAACAAAATTAAATAAAATAACATATGCTGAATTATTATTAAGAGAAACGTTCGTACGAAGAAGAAAGAAAGGAACGAAGAAAAGGGGAGAAAGGAAGGAAGGAAGAAAGAACGAAGAAATATCGGAAGACACAAATGTTTAAAGTCTTTTCTGAAAACCTGATAAATAAGGGAATATTCTGTTCTGAACGAAGAAAGAAAGGAAGGGAAGGAAAGAAGAAACGAAAGTTTAATAAAGAAACAAATAACTGATTTCAGTAGAAAGAAAAGAAAGAATGGACTGAAAAAAGGAAAAGAAGAAAGAAAAGAAAACGAAAGAAATAAAAGGAATTTCAGTTAAAAATGATGAATGGAGAAAGAAAGAAAGAAAGGAAAAAAAGGAAGGGAACGAAGAACGAAAGAAAGGAAATAAAACGAAGAAAAAGAAGGAAGGAAAGAAGGAACGAACGAACGTAGGAAGTATAAAGAAAGAAATGAATGGACGAAGAAAGAAAGAAAGGAACGAAGAAAGAAAGGAAAGAAATGAATGGACGAAGAAAGAAAGAAAGGAACGAAGAAAGAAAGGAACGAAGAAAGAAAGGAAGGAAGGAAAGAAGGAACGAACGAACGTAGGAAGTAGAAAGAAAGAAATGAATGGACGAAGAAAGAAAGAAAGGAACGAAGAAAGAAAGGAACGAAGAAAGAAAGGAAGGAAGGAAAGAAGGAACGAACGAACGAATGAAGAAAGATAGAAATGAACGAACGAACAAACGAAGAAAGAAAGAAAGAAAGAAAGAAAGAAAGGAAGAAACGAACGATCGAAGGAAGAAAGAAAGAAATAAGAACGAAAGAAAGAAAAGAAATGAAGGAAGGAAGGAAGAAAAAGGAACGAACGAACGAACGAAGAAGAAAGAAAAAAGGAAGGAACGAACGAACGATCGAATGAAGGAAGAAAGAAAAAGGAAGATAAGAAGTGAATGGATTTTAAATGGAAAGGTTGCCAATTTCAAATCGAAGAAAGAAAGAAAACGAAGAAAGAAAGAAATTTGGACGAACCTTAAAAATAACGAAAGGAACGAAGAAAGAAAGGAACATTCAAATTTATGATTGTTACGAATTTGGTAAGCTCAAAGAAAAAATATTTAACGATGCTGAAAAACGAAGATAGAAGGGGGGATCATCGGATTGGTCCAAATTATACAATTTTCAAATCCTAGAAAGAAAACAATGACGAGCTAAGAAAAGAGAAGTAGAAAGAAAAAGGTGGATGGTGCTGAATTTATTTTTATAAGAAAGGGGAAGGAAAGAACGAAAAAATTAATGAAAAAGTGTTAAAATTTCGATTTAAAATTAAAAGAAATGAGAAATAATTGTATTAAAAATCAATTTTCATTGAAAAATGAATTTTTTTGGAAAGAAAATATTGTCCAAAGAAAGGAACGAACGAACAAAGAAAGGAAAAAACAAAGGAAGGAAAAAAAGCGTTGGACGAAGAAAGAAAAAAAAGGAACGAAGAAAAAGAAAGATTAAAGAAAAAAGGAATATTTGTTAGAAAGAAAGAAATTGAGTTTTGAAATTGTTACAAAGGAAGGAGCTGAATTTTAGAAAGAAAAGGTAATGGGTTCATTAAAAAAAAAAAACATGATTTACATTCGAACGAAAGTAGAAAGAAAAGGAATGGACGAAGAAAGAAAGAAAGGAAACGAAGAAAGAAAGGAACGAAAGAAAGGAAAAGCCTTGTGCTTTAAATATTATAATCACTAAAACCGATGGTATGGAATTTTTTGAGTTTTTCATAAAATTAGATAAGAAAGTTAAAAAAATAAAAAAAATTTCTGCCATGACTTTAATAAAAAAAAACATATTCATAATAATTTCGATCATTTGTGAATATTTTCTGAAAGTTTCATTAACATCTGACAATTATTTTTATTTTTTTACAAGATTTTCCAAATTAATAGGTATAATACAAAAAAACGCGCTAAAAATTATTCTATGTTATTTAGTATTCCTTATAGAACAAATAAAAACAAATAAAAGCGTTTGAAAAAAAAGATAAACAAAACTTTTTTAAATCAAAATTTAGAATATTCTAAAAAAAGATGGAAAATTTTGTTTTTCATAAAAAATAAAATAAAAAAAAAATTTGGTCTATCCTCTTCATAAAACATTAAATCTGACATTTTGACGATAAAAATTTTGTTTTCGTAAATTTTGGCGTCAAGGTTTTTTCATCAGACTATGCTATATTTTTCGCAATTTTGTTTTGGAATTTTGGCGTCCTAAGTTAACGTGACATGAACTAAGTATATAGTTCAATTAATATAATGATATGTCTTACAAAATTACAAAATTCATGCAAAAGAATTCTCACTCAAAATATATGAATTCTAGCGTTGCTACTTGCACGTTCCAATATTATATAACCGTCAATAAATAACACATTCTTAAAACAAAATACATCTTTCGGTCTAGAATACATTTATGCTGTCCAATATATATATATATATATATATATATATATATATATATATATATATATATATATATATATATATATATATATATATTCATATAATAACGCTATATTTGTTTAGCAACATTAGTGATCTAATATAGATTCATACGCAACATAGTTTCAATAGATTCATGTATTAAAACTGTTGGGGCCACCCACCTTCTCATCAGAATGAACTGATCTCTCTACTACTAATAGGACAGTTCTATAGAGTTCTGGGAGATCAGGTGACCATCACACTTCCGTCTGTCTACCGGAAGATACAGTTGGAATTTACACTCTTTCTGATTGTTACAGACTAACCCGCGTTCGTTTGACTACTAATCTCTCTGTTGTAAATACCTCTTCAGATATACCAGTATTTTTCCCTACGTATGTGTTTGTCCTTATTTCAATACACGCACGGGGAAACACCCAACATCTCAACAGTGGCGACAAGGATTCGAACGGATAAAAAGAACTTACGTTGAAAAATAAAAATCGCAACAGCGAAAGAAACGATTTCAACACGGGAAAATTTAAAAGAGTTCAAGCAATTTTTTCACAGCAAAGGATTGAAAAGTTTATCGACAAAAAAAAAAAAAAAAAAACTGTAAGTTAGACATTAACTTATTTATTCTATTGGAATCTATAATAACCAATTTTTTGTGCTAAAAAAAAAAAAAAAAAAAAATTTTTTTTTTGTCGTGCCAGAGAATTTGATTAATTTATTGCCCCCCCTCAGAAAAAAAAAACACACATAATTTCGCTTTCTTTTTTCTCTACACATACATAATCATGGAGCAATTTCAATCATCTATGCTGGAACTCATTAAGTATCAGATGCAAAGACAACAAGAGAGTGAAGAACGTTTTCAGAAAGAACAACTTAAATTTCAGAAAGAACAAAAAGGAACAAAAGGAAAGGTTAGAAGGAACAAAATGCAAAACGATTTCGAAAAGCTACACGAAAAACAAAAAATAAAATACAATTGAAGAAAATGCAAAAAAAGAAAACAAAATAAAATAGCAATGAGTTGAACTTATACATAAAGCTATACTGTCTAAGCAGAAAGACTCGGATGAAAGTACTTTTTCTCAAGACACAATATAGTCGACGATCGAAAGTTTTACCTATAACCCAGAAGAGGAAAAAACTTTCGAAAGATATTATCATAGATATCAGGACTTTTATGAAGTCGATTGCCAAACATGGCCAGATGAGAAAAAAGATAAGATTGTTACTACGGAAACTGGGAACGGCAGAACATAATAAATTTACGGATTTTATATTACCCAAAAAAGACAAGAGACTTAAAATTCGACGAAGCGATTGAATTACTAAAAAGAGCTCTTCAACCCCAGATTATCATTATTTCACAAAAGGTGGAAATGTCTTAATATTCAAAAAAGCGAGCAGGAAGACTACACAACTTTCGCGTCAATCGTAAATAAGACGTGTGACGATTTTCGCTTGTCCGAATTATCGGCGGACAATTTCAAGTGTCTAATATTCGTGCTAGGCTTAGTGTCTAAAAAAAATAGCGAAATGCGAAGACGCATTTTAGCAAAGCTAGAAAATGACCAAAACATGACACTACAAAAGCTAGACGAGTACTGTCAGCAATGCGTAAGCATTAAGCAAGATTCAGAGAAAATAGAAGAAACTGGTATCGCAAATGTGAAGAAAGTAAATAGGAAGACTCGTTTCCGTTCTCCATCGCCTGAACGGAAGTGGTATCCTACTACAAGAATGAACAGAGACTATAGAAAAAAAAACTCCCTCCGAGTGCATGTTACGGATGTGGCCAGTGGCACTGGTACAATGACTGTCCATATAAAAATAAAGCTTGCAGAAATTGCAAGAAAGTAGAACATAAGATGTCCAAGTGTAGAAAATTAAACAGAAGTCGAGTAAAAGTTACTAAGTCAGATGAAGATCAAGACCTGAATATTCGAAAATACCTACATGTAAAAATGTACAACAAGAAGGTTAAAATGCAACTGGATTCAGGATCTGACATTTCGATTATTAAAACACAAACATGGAAAAATCTAGGAAAGCCAACTCTGCTAAAGTCCAACAAAATAGCCAGGAAGGTAACTGGAAAAAAAAATCAAATTTGAAGGTGAAATATGGGTGAATATAACCTTCAACAACAAGACTATAAAAATAAAAATTTTTGTAATGAAAAACATGAACAACCTGTTTGGGACTGACGCAATCACTAAGTTCAATATATGGGACGTTCCCATTAGTTCTTTTTGTAACAACATTAGTGAAAGCAAAGACAACATAAAAAATTTACAAACAGAATTGAAAATAGCATTCCCCGAAGTTTTCGCTGAAGGACTTGGACGTTGCACGGAAGCATCAGCAAAAATACAGCTGAAGAAAAAATATTCAACCATTTTTAAAAAAAAAAAGCGTAGCATCCCTTTTGCCGCATTAGAAAAAAAATTGACCAAGAACTCGAAAGACTAACGAGAATTGGTATGATCTCGAAAACGGAATACAGTGACTGGGCATCTCCGGCTGTCTACGTAAAGAAGAAGTCGGGCGAAATTCGCGTCTGCGCCGATTTTTCAACCGGGTTAAATAACGCAATAGAAGAGTATCACTATTCACTGCCAAGTCCCGAAGAAGTATTCACAAAGTTAAATGGTGGAAAATCTTTTCGAAAATAGAACTTAGCGAGGCATACTTGCAAGTACCCATGGATAACAAAAGCGCAAAGTTGTTATGCATTAACACGCATAAAGGCTTGTTCAGATACGAACGTTTACTGTTCAGGGTAAAGACAGCACCCGCAATATTCCAACAAATAATATCCGGGTTAGACTACACGATAGCATATCTCGACGATATACTCGTGAAAAGTGAATCGGTGGATGAACACAAACACCATTTACGCAAAGTTTTCGAAAGGATAAGAAGCAATGGGTTTAGAGTGAAAGAAAACAAATGCGATTTTCTCCTGGAGGAGATCAAGTATCTGGGACATATAGTAAATAAAGAAGGGAAAAAGCCAGATAAAAATCGAGCATCAGCAATAAAAGATATTCCTGAGCCAAAGGATATTAAATCCCTACAAAGTTTTTTAGGCTTGGTGTCATATTACCAGGATTTTATCCCAGACCTCCACGTTCTACGAGCTCCCCTTAACGATCTACTAAAAAAAGAAAAACCTTGGATATGGACAAAAGAATGCGAGCAAGCATTTAAGGATATAAAAGAAAAGTTGACATCAGAATTATTTCTGGTACATTTTGATCCAAAATTAGATATCATCGTGGCGAGCGATGCCAGTACACACGGCGTAGGTGCGTGCATATTGCACAAGTGAAAGGATGGTAAAGTTCGACCGATCGCTCATGCAAGCAGATCGTTACTACCTGCTGAGCGAAACTTTTCACAAATTGAAAAAGAGGCATTGGCGATTATCTTCGCTGTAACAAAGTTCTATAGATACATACATGGAGGGTATTTTACGCTGCAGACAGACCACACGCCTCTGGTAACGATATTCGGATCAAAGAAGGGTCTGTCAACATACACCGCAAATAGATTGCTTAGGTGGGGAACAATTTTGCTAAATTATAACTTCAAAATACAATATTTGTCCACCCACAAAATTGGTCACGCAGACAGTCTATCAAGACTCATTCCGAAAGCAACAGAAACATTAGAGGATACGGTAATCGCATCCCTCAGAGCAGATGACGAGGTTGAAGAAAATTTGGCGAACGCAATTCGAGAATTACCAGTATCGCTTAAGAACATCAAAAAAGAGGCAGAAAAGCACAAATATATTATGGAAATAAAAGACAAGCTAGCTAAAAAAGACGAAAAAATTCAAGTGACATTCTCTCTGTGTGATAATGTGCTAATATATTGTGATAGGGTAGTAATCCCTAGTACACTCCAAAAAAGAATATTGAAAGATTTTCATGCTGGTCACCCGGGCATAAATAGAATGAAGAGCCTCATGAGAGCATACGTCTACTGGCCAGGTATGGACAACGACATTGCGTCTATGGTCGGCAGATGTAAAGGCTGCATTTTGGCATCAAAATCACCACTAATTCTACAGAAGCCATGGCCAAAAACCGACAGGCCATGGTCAAGGATTCATATTGATTTTGCGGGTCCAATTGACGGGTGGCATTATTTGGTCGTAGTTGACAGCTATAGTAAATGGCCCGAAGTTTTCCAAATGAAGAGGCCAACATCACAAAATACGATAAATAAATTGCATGAATTATTTGCAAGGTTTGGAGTGGTAGATACTGTGGTTAGTGACAACGGTACTCAATTCACGAGCAAAGAATTCGCAGAATTCTGCCAGAATTTTCAAGTGGATCACGTGAGGATTCCTTCGTATCACCCACGCAGCAACGGACTAGCCGAAAGGTTTGCCGAAACGCTAAAAAGGGCTCTTAGAAAAGCAACAGGTACTAGAAAAGACTAGAAAGGCGTTACAGCTATTCCTGCAAGTATACCGCATTACTCCGAATAAATCTGCCCCATCAAGCCTATCACCTGCGGAGCTAATGTTTGCAAGGAACATTAGATCTGCATTTGATAAATTGATACCTAAAAATAAGATACACACACCAGTCGCAATGGTTCCTAAGCGAAAATTCCACACAAATGAAAAAGTTTTTTTCAAAAATAATGCGACATCGTGGGAACCAGGAGTCATACAAAAGCGGATTGGGAATATGGTGTACATTGTAAAAGGGACAAAATTTACCCATAAAAGACACATCAACAAGCTAAAGAAAAGGAGTACTGAAGAATCGGAAGAAACTCGGCAAGTAGAAGACGAATTATACGAATTATATGATACTTTTGATTTACAAGTACCACAGACAGAGTAAAAACAGCGCAGATCTGGTAGAAAGCGAAAAGCGACGCAAAAATTTATGATGGACCCGAAAAGGAAAAAATATTGAAAAAAATTTTTTTTTCTTCACAATGTAAAAAACAATTTTTTGGGGGGGGGCCACCCACCTTCTCATCAGAATGGACTGATCTCTCTACTACTAATAGGACACTTCTATAGAGTTCTGGAAGAGATCAGGTGACCATCACACTTCCGTCTCTCTACCGGATGATACAGTTGGACTTTATACTCTTTCTGATTGTTACTGACTAACCTGCGTTCGTTTGACTACTTATCTCTCTGTTGTAAATACCTCTTCAGATATACCAGTATTTTTCCCTACGTATGTGTTTGTCCTTATTTCAATAAACTCTCAACATCTCAACAAAAACCATGTACAATTCTATAGTAAATCTGTATTTATTATTCACTGTAAACTTCTTGACCAATATTTCAACCGTCCTGGGTATGATAATAAACTACATCTGCGTCCTGGGTAAGACGATAAACTACGTCCAACAGCAAGACCTCTGGTCAGGAGGTTTTGAGGAGCGTGGAACTCCCTATAATTGCTGGTGTTTCCAGGTCCATCCTGACCCGAGGTGGTAGAAGCTGTTAGGTTCCCAGGTATGGGTAAATAGTTAACACCCTAAAATGGAGTCGAAACACTATGAAAATTTAAAAATAGGTTTTAATACCAGAAATACTTTGTAAAAATTATTAACAGCAATATTTTTTTGGAAGAAATATTATTACCAGCAATACATTTTTGAAAAAAAAATAATTACCAGTTTTACATTAAAAAAAATTACCTACAATACATTTTTGAGAAAAAAAATATACCAGCAATAAAATATAAATAAATAACCCATTGAGATTGATATGTTGTAAAACAAACCAAATCAATATTTCGATTTTGAAAATGACTTTTTAAAAAGAAATCAATACTAATATAATCAGGAAAACATTGAAAATGTTATTATCAACGACTTCACTTTATTATCTGTGATCAATCAATTTCTTTTTACCTGAACTTCTTATATATATATATATATATATATATATATATATATATATATATATATATATATATATGAATAAATTATTTAAAGGTACATAAACATATGTAAGTAGAATATCATATATATTATATGTGCATGATCATATAGAAGAGTACTGACTTTAATCATTGGTCAAGAAAGACATTGAGTGAGAAAAGTCTGACGGTTCCAGCAAAGACAATTCTTCTTTGAGCATTCCTAACGGGCGATACAAATTCATAAACAAAGAACTGTACCAAATTCATTGAATCTATCAAAAGGCATAATAACAACCAAATAACAATTGATGGAGATCAGAAATAATACAAATCAAGATGTCGCATAAATAACACCCGCAAGGTTAGAAGGTATATTCCAGTCAATAGAGGAAAGTGCCATAACGGCTACTGAACATGAGAAAACTTTTTCCTGAAAACTTATTTTATGAGAAAGAAATAATCACATAATCAAGATGTTGTCCTTCTAAATTATATCATATACTTCAAGGTGATTGAATTAAACATAAAAAGGATAAAATTCGAGTTGAGAAAACTTTATATGCCTTTGTGCCATAATATATATATATATATATATGAACATGATATAAATATTTTCCTGAAAATCTTTTTTTATTGATTAAAGTTATTTAAAGCCATAAAAATTTTTAAAATTTGAGGGAGATAATAATAATTTACTGATACAAGTCCTACTAATAAATAGCCAAGGGATGTAGATTCATACCTTTCCCAAGGGTATTTGCATGAGTGAATATAATGGAAAATTGAAACTCAGCTTTTAAGTGGTCTATACATACATACATATATATATATATATATATATATATATATATATATATATATATATATATATATTCCATTACTTTATGCTGTCAGGTGCAACAATTCTTGACAGCTATTAAAAATGAAAAATTGAATAAAATTACCGAAAAATATTTGTGGCAAAAGTTTGAGCAAAAGTGTTACCACCAGCCTTTATTTGAAACATCAATATATATCATTACTCAGTACTGGAATGATTTTCATTGAAGGTTGAAAAATGTTTGGTCTAGGTTAACAGTTATCTTATATATATATATATATATATATATATATATATATATATATATATATATATATATATATAATGTATTTGTCAGTCATCACAACAATGTTTCCCTGTATCACAACGTGTGTCTAGATGTCGGTTGCCACTTACTAACTAACTATATATATATATATATATATATATATATATATATATGATATGAAAAATATACAAATATATGCAAATATACTTGCACTTACATATATATTTCTTTCTCAGGTGTTATAAAAGCAGTGCTCAATTTTATATAACAGAGCTAAATGTTTATTTGTTATTAGGTCTCCACCTGAAGATTGCAGTTATCATGAGACTCCGAGTCGTGCCATCGACTTTGTGTGTTATGTATATTCACTATTCACACACACACACACACACACACACACACACACACACATATATATATATATATATATATATATATTCGTTAAAAAAATCTCTTAAGGAACTTAATGAAAAATTCATGAATAATTATATTGGATATACCATTACATGCATAACAAGAAGACTCGCGGTACATCTCTTTTCCCATAGTTCATTTACGTCCCATTTAAAATACTCACGGAAACTTACCAAAGACCATCTGCAACATACTCCTATAAAATACAACAATAATAACCTCATCCACATGTAAAGAAAAAGCCGGAAATAATGGAAGCATTATGAAAAACTAGAAAACTACAACACTCTATAACATCAACTAGGAACATGGCCACAAAGCGCTGACCGTATTTGAAAAATAAAAATTCTTATAAAAATGTCTATGAGGCTAGATTTATTCATAAAGATATTGATACATTCAGTTAAATGTAAAAATAAAATCATCCTTGATAATGGCTATAGAATAGATGAAATCGCTTGGGCATACAGAACTTTCGAACAATGTATACATAATTTATGCCCAGAAAAAAATATATGCACCCAAGTATAATTAAATAAAAAAAAATAACAAAAAAACTTTATCGCAGATACCTTGAAAGTCGTTTTTAACGAAACTTTTATAAAAAGGGATGGATATATATATATATATATATATATATATATATATATATATATATATATATATATATATATATATATTATATATATATATATAATTTTAATGCATTTTAATACTTTTTTGACATAATAACCTTAATGAATGATGTATATTCCATTCAAATTGTTCCTCCCATTTGTTTCAATATCGTTGCAGAGAAACTCTCACGTCAATTTCTTTTACACTATACGGGAAGAAATTAAAGGAAATACAATAAAACGTTGACTATGAATGTGAACGTCGATCGGCAAATTCCACGCTGAATTTCCACACGAAACGCGCATTCGAATGCTATCAATAAAGAAAATGTAATATCATCGTATATAGTCATAATTAAGTTGCTGTGTATATACAAATATACAGATATGAACGAAGAAAGAAAGAAAGCAAAGGGTACAATATTAAAGCAAGAACGGAGGAAATGTGTAGAATGTGTAAGAAAGAAAGAAAGAAAAACGAGAAAAGAAAGACAGAAAGTAAAGTATAATATGTGATAGAAAAAATAAATCAAGAAAGCAAGAAATAGGAGATAAAAAAAGCAAAGCATAGAACGTGAAAGAAAGAAAGAAAAAAGAAAAGTATTATTTGTGATAGAAAAATAAATAATGGATATAATATGATATATATATATATATATGTATATATATATATATATATATATATATATATATATATATATAGAGAGAGAGAGAGAGAGAGACAGAGAGACAGAGATAGATAGATAGATAGATAGATAGATAGATAGATAGGTTGGGATCAAATAAAGTTCAGCATCAGAGAGAATGATAAAAACAAATAAAAAAACGTTTGTTAATCTACCGTGTTTCACTTTTATTAGATATTCATCAGAGAATGATGTATGGAGAAAAAGAAGAAATACATTCTGGCAAATTAACTTTTTGACTTTGATTAATCATTTTTAAGAGGCATTCGATTTGTTCAACATATGTTAGTACAATTTGTGGTGTTCCGAATTCAAGGAGAGACGACGCGTCAGTTCAAAGGGACAAGATATAACGGATTCTAAGCCTATCAAAAAAAAATGTAAATATTGCTTTATGTATGTATGTGCATAATAATTCTAGTTTGTGTGGGAGTCAGATGATAATGTATACTGCTGGTGCATAATTATCAGGCGTTTTTGTAGGCGAGATATTTGTTAATAAAATTTGCTGTTTTGTTTACTTTATTTAATAATTTTTTTATTTATTTTCAGGTTATAAAAATGCGTGTTGATGCTCATACACTCCGGAATAATCATTTAAAAATGTTATTACTGAATTGTTATTTCTTTTTTCATAATAATTATTGTTTTAAGAACGTCTGATAATTTTGCACCAACCCTCTGTGTGTGTGTGTGTGTGTGTGTGTGTGCGCCTGTGATTCGAGATAAATAAATAGAAAGAAAGCAAGCAAAAGATATGTTGCGATGTCCGTGTTGTCGATGTTAGACGAACCCCACACCACCATATTAAAATTGAAGAACTGACAGGGCCCAAGGCAATGATAGCGAGAACAAGGGGTTTAGTTAAATATGCCAAAATTTATTATTGGCAGAAAAATATAATCGAAGAATCCGGATGTTTCAAATGCCCTGGGTGGTCGGGGTGATAGTTTGACTGTTGTTTTTAGATTCGCCAACAGTTTATAAATTCCTGTGCAAATCGAGTGGTGCCGAAGGTTGATAAACAGTTGGTGTATTGGGTTGGTACCAGTTGGAAGTCGTAGCCGAGGGCAGACGATAGTTGATAACCAGATGAAGAGGAAACCACTTGAGCGGTGTCGATGGACGATAGGCAGTCAGTGAAGGTCGACAGATAGTCGGCGTGTTGAGTTGGTACTACCAGGCAGTCCTAGTTGAAGGTTAGGCGGTTGGACACGGTGATCTGCGAGATGACGGGCAGCAGGGAGTGAAACCTGAATCGCTGTGTGGACTGATAGAATGCGTGGTCGACGGGAGTCACTTGGTGATCGGTGCTGGTCTCTTGTGGTCGTTGGTGATGACTGCTGATCACTGATGGTTGGTGATGATCGTTGATCCGGATAATAACCCATTTTTCTGACTTTAACACTGAGCTCCGACACTCTTTTTCATACTTTAACTCAATCTTCCGGCCATAAAGATTCTGTTCAAATACGAAACAGACTCACACAACTTGCTGTTGAATTCAGTGTCCACTTTTATGATTATATTTACATAACCTCTATCCATAATATTGAGTACACTCGATAAGCATAGCATACATTAATAATCCATTTTCATCATATATATATATATATATATATATATATATATATATATATATATATAATACTGAAAAGATTAATGGTCAGAGTTGGGTTAGACTAGAAAACAGTATCATTAAAAAGCGCTTAATACAAGTGTGAAAAATAAAAATAAAAATTAACATATAGAGCTTTTAAATTTAAAAAAAAATTAGATCAGTCGATTCCGCTAACTTGCTTTCAACTTTAGGTATCGTTGGGAGGTTTTATCAATTGAATTCCCAACGCTTTATTTAAAAAAAATATTAATGAAGGCTTATAGACCGAATCAGAGTTAAAACGTTTTTTGATTGCAACAATCATAATAACATCTGCAACCTTTTCCAATAAGAAAAAAATTAGCACTAATGACATTTCCTGATCCGGAAAACATTTTGAATCAAAGATCAGAAATTATGAACCGTTGCATTCATACAAAAAAAAATATCTTAAATTCATATGAGTTTCGACAAAAAATATATATATATGTACATTTTAATTAATCCCCTAGAAAAACGATTTAGGCCTAAAGTTCATTTAGAACCGAAACCTCGATTTGGGCCGAAAGTTTGATTGGAGGCGAAACCACGATGTGGGCCGAAATTCCAATTCAGGCCGAAAATTGATTTTTTCAAAGTACAAACTCCGTGGTACTTTATTTGAGAGAAGTTCTTGAAGTCACAAACTCACGTCACGAAATCTCTCATTTTAACTCTGATTCCTTGGCATTTTGAAGAATTAGAATTGATTTCCTCAATTCACAAGGATTGAGAGATATTTGAAACTGAATTACAAACAAAAGCTTTTAAAAGTTTTTTTTTTTTTTGTGTGTGTGTTACTTAAGCTCAATATAGATTTAAAAATGTTTAAAATCATAAAATTTTCTCATCTATATTTAAACTTTAATTTTTAAAGATTCCCTCCTCAAAGTGATAGAAATCCCAATGATAAATATTTCCGCAAGACACGAAGGTTAGATTTTCAATCCCGGGATCATCATGATTACAATAAGGTATAATATCTCTGTGTAGTGTAAGTATGGCCCAAGTTAGAGGGGTTTCAGTTATACGGACGGACAGACAGAATTTTGATGTTTATTTGTTTAGATTGATTATATGGTATTATATTGATCGCCTTTTTTGGTAGAATTTCTGCTAACCTGAAAAACACGTAAAATTCTCGCAATTTTCATGCATTTTCTCAGTCGTATTATTATTATTATTATTATTATTATTATTAATGCTAAGAACCCTCTTCTTCTTAACACTCTTAAAGCTGATTATCTGATAAGAAATATATCTTTAACACCACTTTTTATCTTCAGCTAATATTTTCTGAAGTGCTTACGGCAACGCTCTTGAAGGTGTCTTTGGTGACAATGTCAATACATCTGTTGCGTTAGAAAAACAGGGACGCAAAGGAACCGAATTGTTTTTGCGTTTCATAAACGTCGTCCATATTTTCTATTCCTTTTTTGATATCTTTGTTTTGTTTTTGTCTTCCGTGGGAAATACACAGAAGTGTTTCTTTTAAGTAGAACAAAAATAACATGAAATAAAAAAAAAAGATATTTATCAACCGTTTCCAGAATTTAGCATTTTATATCGCAATGCATTTTTTTTATTTATATTTTATTTACTTATTTAATTCTTTTTGAAAAGCTCATATCGCCTTTAATGAAACTGAAAGGATTTAAACAAAAGAAATTATATCACTTTGACTCACTAAACGTCATCAGCAATAATTTTAGCAATGATAAAAGCACACTACACACAGTTACTTACTTCTTTCTTGAACAAAGTCAGATTCTAAGGTCCAGATTTTTCTATTGTAATTCTACCGCTAATCTAACCGAATGAAAATAACAAGCCTCTAATGTTAAAACAGCTTACGACAACATTAGTTTTAAAAAATAAAGTTCCCGAGAGGAATCTACCAAGTTAAGCAACGTCGAGTCTAGTCAGTACCTAGACGGGTGACCGCTTTGTAATACTGAGAGTTTTTAAGCTTGAATCTGCGGGTAGTGTAATGGATAATGGCTCGGGATTGTTAATGGGGCAGCTGGGATCTAGGTTGAGTTGGGTTCATTATATTCACTTACGCGTAAATAACTTTTAGAAAGATATCAATCCTTCTCTTCTCTCCCCAGCTTGGGGTTAATTATTAAGTGTTGTATCAAGAAAAAAAAATTATTATATACCATCAAATTTCTTACAATCTAAAAATAGTTTCTGGCTTTAAATAACCTTCAAAATATTCATTAGCCGTCGAACACGAATCACTCAATCTGATGTTAAACGAATACAGAAAAGTCTAAGCTGAAGATTTGGTAGTTCAGTGAATATGCTATCTTTGTGTTTCATTCAAATTTATACGGACAAATGTTATAAAAAGATAGTTGAAAAATGTCTTGCGCTTGTCAAGCGGATAAATAATTTTCTCTTTGATGAGAATGCAAAGCCATATACAGTAAACTCAACAAAAAATATGGAACTATAATTATCTGTTCTACCACACTTAGTATATTTACCCAACCTTATAACAAACAATTATTATCTCTCTTGATCGTTGTAAAGAACATTAATGGGGAAACGTTTTAATGGGGAAAACGCTTTAATGGGGAAAACGTGTTAATGGGAAAAACGTATTAATGGGGAAAACGTTTTCTAATGGGAACTGGATTAAAGAATGTAGGTTTTGGTTGGTTGTTTTTAATTAGTGGCATATCAACCGCTATGGGCTATTTAATACAGAAATCTAAATATGTTGAACACAATTTTATGGCTTCAACTAAATATATTTTGAAAAGCATTTCTGTACATTAAACTATAGTTGAAATTTATTGCTGGTAATTTTACTATAAAACATATTGCTGGTAATTTTAATATAAATACGGAGTGTTGGTAATTTTTTTATTATAAAATTTCACAAAGTTTTTATTAGAAAAACCAGAGTTATGTCACTCAAAATAGATTATGTCATATTTTCCTTATCGTAAGCGACAGATAAACCCAGTTACGCCCCTTGATTTTATGTATTTCATTCTTAAGCGTCAGCATGTGGTATTCAATAAATATTTAGAAACATTTTGAAAAGATAAAAGCGAAAATCCACATGTAAATAAAACACTTTTATAATTCTCTGTAAACACACATGGATTATAAATATTACATATAAATATATAAAAACCTTACCTGCTTTTCCAGTTCGTATTATTTTCTCTATATAGCAAGTTCTAAAACTTTAACTTTTACCTACATATATATATATATATATATATATATATATATATATATATATATATATATATATATATATACAGGGCGCTTCATGCTAGACAATGTGCAATCGTCGTGCGCCTGACAATTACATCTAGCATGAAACAGCCTGTCGCCTCTTAGTGTTGACTTTAATGTTCACTATCATATTTATATTTACATACGCTCTAACTCTGATACTGAGCACTTTATCCCATGAATATAGCACACTTTAAAACTTGTTGCGGGCCCGGTAGCATGCATTGTTTGTTAATTAAAAAGTGGCCTTGTGCCAGACACTACTTATTTCTACCGAATCCACAAACAAAGTAAAAATATTAAATGAGTGATCTTCAGTGAGGAAAAAGGGTCATTTAACACATGCATAAAAATAGTAAAATATAGATAGCCAGGAGAAAACGACAAAACGAATCTGGTGGAAAGCATATATGAAATTTTATTTTAATAACAAATAATCTTGTCTCAACAGTGGAGACTATCAGAAAAGGTGAGGTCTGTTTTTAGCCAGTTGGCAGTTAGTAATATGTAGAGACTAATAAAATGTTAAAGTTCCGCGCCAAAATGAAAAACCAAGATGGCTAAGGCGGGAAAAGTTTCTTCAGAATGAAAGTTTGGGAATATTGTCTTTTTGTACGAAAGGTGTATGCGTACACAAATAGGAAAACTACTCACTGCGAGGTTTAATAATGTGTGTGTAATGTTATCTTTTTTTTAAAACTGGTTCGTCAAGGTTAGAATTCAAAAGAGGTGCATGAACAGTTCATCAATCTTCAGTGAAGGAAAATTCTGAGTTGTTCGCATCAAGACGAGGAGGTTGGTCTTGGAAAAGTGTGGTGACGACAGTGCCGTAGAGTATGTTCTCTGGTAAGAAATGAAGAAGGTTCAAACATGTTGTTCACTTCAAGACGAGGAATTTGATCTTGGAAAAATATATTGACGACAGTGTCGTATTCTCTACATTTTCTAGCTGAAAACGGAGGAAAGTTCAACATGTTGTTCGCATCAAGACGAGGAAAAGCCTTGGAAAAGTGTGATGTCGGCAGTGTCTTAACTTTACATTTTCTAGTAGAAAAACGGAGGAAAGTTCGAAAGTTGTTCGAAGAAAAGTTATAATCACACGACATGTTGAAGTTTTGGTTAGTTAAGGATAAGATATTCCGGCCTGCGTATGGGTTAGGGGCACGGAATAAATGAGTTGACCTGCTAGCTTGAAAATCATGCCGCAACTAACTTGAAAACGCTGTTCGTCGGTGACGTCAGAAAATGCGCGAGAAAAATTCAAATTCCGTCCTAGTCGAAAGTGAAAGAAAGGGGTGCAGTCCGTGCGCGAGCTAAAAAAAAGGCGGAATCGTGCATGGATTCCACACTATTTCTTCATATGTGTGTGCGTGTTTGTCTGTATGTAGGGGTGGGGGTGAGTATGTGTGTGTGTGTGTGTGTGTCTGAAAGTGTGTGTGTGTGTGTGTGAAAGTGTGTGATAAAGTACATTTTCCCTCTCTTGTAGCATAGCTG